TCCTTGTTCCAGTGATCGCATCTTCTTCTTCGGAACTGCTGCCTGGAACTCGCATATTCTCCTCTATTGGCAAACTCACGTAAAGTTTCATTGATAGGATAAGAAACACGACAATAAGGTTCATCATTTCAGCGCAAATAGGATATGAAGGGATCCCTCTTGACTCCCCGGTTAGGCCTGGCGCACCACGTTAAGCCCAAACCGGTTGAATCAGATGTTTTAATGTGCAGCGCTTGTTTCGAAAATGTGTAGGATTTGACGATTAAGAGTCGTGCTGGCGACTTGACTTTTCCTTATGCTAAATATCTTCGGGTCTGGCGGTGATTCAGTCCTTGCTCGTATAGCTACAGTTCTTTTTGAAACATCTTTCCGATTTTGACCTTCACCCATGAGGTTCGACGTATTATAGGTCACCCGACAATGACAGACCTTTCGGTCGACGGAATTCGACTACCAGTGCACTAGTAGTCCAGTTCGGCAGGATGTGACAAATTCCCGAATTTGGAAGTTGAACTACGACTTTAACGAACGGAACTATCCGATTTGCTTTGCTAAGGTTCAGTCTGGAATCTCTACGTCAAGAAAATGGCCAAAGTACGTCACGTGACGTGATTCTCACGTGTCTTATGCAGTCGACGAAGAAAATCTTGTTCTACAATTGGCTCTAAATAATTTGAATCTTGATCCGACACCGAGTTACTCGTTGTGACACGAAACTTCCCTCAGCTTCAAACTCCATTTGGAGGGTAGTTATAACTACGCATTCTTGTAGTTGTATGAGATACCTGAGCTAAAATAGATAACAGCCTATGCGTATATGTATATTGGGTATCGCCGAAGCAACCAATCAAGTCTGCCTTCGACTCTAGAATTTGTATTAAAATTAATCTTTTCAGGACAGTTCATTTAGGCTGTGGAGGTTGGTGTTACTTCTAGTTGTCAATTAACCCTTCTCGGCTTCTAAGAAACCGTCACTGTGCTAATTTTATAGGTTTTTAAACCGAAGTGCAATGCGGCCGATATTCCTTTCTGTCCAGGCAAGGTAACCCAGGGGCTATTACTGCTTGCGATTCCCATATATATCTCGTTGACTGGACAGACAGATTAGTAACCTTCTATGGAAGTTTACGGACTTAAGCCGCTGTCGTTCTTCCATGAGAAATTTCATCGTGCAATTGTCGCAGTCCACACGGTTTGATGAGGACAAGGCCTCTTTGTCTAGATTTGGTCATTGCATCAATGGGCACGGCCAGTCACCGAAAATACCAAGCTTGCTCTAAAAGGTGCTTTCTAGTCCACTTTCTTCTTGATGCCTGTAATAGTAAGCGTTTCGTGAAAGCCAACTTTGGAAACAATCGTTAATCAAGTCTAAAGACTAGGACCATTATAACCTGTAGTCTGCGTTGATTATCACGAGACTCGACAACAAATCGGTATATTAAATTTGCTTTGTTTATACGTGATACAGCTGTGTTCATGCCTGTCATGTCTGTCATGGGTTTGACCTTTCCATGCGTGACAATTAGCGACTGTGGATCCAGAAAGCTCAACCCATCCTCTTTCTTAGTATGGTTATCCTTCAAGACTAACTTATCCTCAACTGAAACTATTTGCCAGGTGCTTGCGCCCGGAGGAAATGATTAAGTTCCATGTAAACGTGAGAAGTAGTGGAAACTGTACAGAACCTCGGGCGAAGTATAATCTGCGCTCACCCCAAAAATCATCTGGTTGACGTAGCCTAAAGAACAGCCTAGACGGTGTATCTACCAAGAGGTAATGGAACCCACACAAATGCGGACAGAGCAACTGTCTACAGTGTAGCAGAACACTTTTCTGAAGGTTTTCATGTGTGTGGCCAGCTGTGCACTCCTGACAGTATTTCTTCAGTTAGAAAATGTGACACTTACGCCGCTTGAATTACTTAGATATCTAAATTTTAGTCGAAGAGGACACCGGAACCTGACTACGAACACCTTCATAGCCAGATAATGTTCCGTTTGCCTTTTGATTTTCAGTCGATTCTAATATGCCATTAAGAAGACAGTACAGATGACACATCAAATTTCACAATAGATATAAACTGTTGTATATTTTATAAAAAAACATTAATGAACAGACGGAAATGGTACTATTTGAATGGACATTGCGAGGGTTTTAAAAACACATCAGAGACCGAAAGATGCCCCGTTTTGAAGTATCCGTTTTGAAGATGCCATTTATCACCATACATAGAATATTAACATTGCAAAAATTTTCATCAGAGTAATTCGAAAGAGCAGTTGGCGAGCTTCCGATCAATTCTCATCAAATGTTCTCAAGGAATATTTAAATGCATATTTTCCAGCAAATTTATTTGCATTTATAGGACCATCGAGAATCAGTGGGTAAATGCATACAATTAAAGTTTCCTTTTTATTAAGCGCGGTTTTTACAAGTTGTCAAAACGAAGTACAGTACAAAGCTAACTTTTTGGCGTGTCTGAAATGTCACACAATCAATATTACAATCCCTTTTAAGTAATTCTTTCTAATTGGAAACGAATCTCACAACTTAGGTAAAATTTCATGGAATCGGTCACTTACTGTAGATCCTTATTTAATTTGAATACCGCCTTGACAATTTCAGCGAGTAGTTGTTTATTGTAATCCCATGTCCTGATGTGCTGATTAGTCGTTATCTGTCTTTAAATTAGTTGCGAATACAACACGACCTTGTACAGTATTGTGACCGACTGTTAACACAAGTTGGCGCCTACCCAGGAACAGCGTCTGGGCGGTATTATCGGGACGCCAGCAGTACCAAATGCGGACATGACTAACCGTCAGCCCGGTCGCCGATACAACGGTTGCAGGCGCCAGGACGATAGCCAACAACCGGAGCAGAGGGCTGAACTCAAAAGGGCCGCGATGTTGTTTGCATTTACTGCTTTGGAAAGGAGTAGTAGGTGGAATTTTTATAAATGCCAGACAGGAAATAAATATATGCCGCCGATCTCCTGCAACTTCTTTTTTTCCGATTGACAGTAATCGAAACGGGCATAATGATGAACATGAAGCGAAATCTGAGAGAAGTGCGCGAACATTTAGCCACTGCTCTGTGATCCAGCGTTGTCTGAATGCCCCTTTCAAGCTCTCACTTTCACTGTTAACTTACATACAGGCTGTTTCATCGAGGTTTGGATACTTTATCAGATCGGTGTGTTTGTGGAAGAGTAGTCTCGCGGCTCCATGGCTCCCCTGCAGGCTGCAATCTTCGGTCCCCGAATCTATTGTTAGTGCTCCGGACACCGCCGTGGAGAAGCCACCTACCCTTAAAGTGTAAGTCTACTTATTGGAAAAGTCATTTGATTCCAGAGCCGGCCAAAGCTTTGTCGACGAAAAAGGCTTGAACGCTGTTTACGGAACACAGGCCTTTCATGAATTGCCAATAGTTCATGTATACGCCACAAGGAATAACACGAAAATATCACTCACAGATTGTAACGGACGATGCCTGTGTGGTACTACTTGCGGGGTTGAGGGTTTTCGGAACGCCCGCAAACAGACCACTGTCGCAGCCCAGACTGTGGGCATTTCTATCGGACTGAAGGCCCAAAAGTTGGGCATCTCGACTGTGCGCGTCAAACTGCGCGGCCTGGGTGCGAATCGAGTGGTAAGCACTTTGTTTTCTGCCTACTTCATCCGCCACAGTCTACCCTTTCAGGTATGGTTCTCTCCGGCTTGAAAATAGTTTCATTGACGGATGACACCCCCATTAACTACGGAATGGGCCGAAGACCGAAGAAAACTCCTCGAAAATGAGTTGTTGACGCAGTTGCTGATCACATTGACTTTGTTGTACATAAATAGACTTTCTTTTGCTTATCTTTATCTCATTTGAAGACCCGTTGTAGGACGTTACATCAGTCCTTGGTTACTCTGATCGAAGTCGAATGACACAAGTGACCAGAGAATAACGTATATTTTGAATGAAGTCTTGTCAGGTCACTAACTAAAGCCGTGGTTATGTTAATTGTCTAAACTAGGCAGCGTCATATCTTAAACCTGATAAAAGCCACTGATAGTCATGTACAGCCCTTCCTTGATCTTAATTACTACTGTGGTCTCCAATATGTTACTAAGCTTCAAGTGAAGGTTTCGGGAAAATTGACAAATTATTCCGTGCCTCGTGCGAAATGTCCTCGCGTAGCAGGCTTCTGTCACACTTGAGTCGCGTGAGTTTCACTTTTACCGCCGTGCACAGCTCACTACTTTGACAGCCCAGAAGTTTCCCGCTTGTCCGAAGTGCGTTTGCCAAAACCATGGCTCGCACGGCCCTGTTGCAACGACATAGTGAAAAGAGCTTTTATCGTAGTCTTGGGAAGGCTCGCCTGCGGTCAAATTTGCGTCTAGTTAGAAAGGTGCTGTTCGTGTTGGGGCTCTTGCCATCCCTTTCATTGCTCTTAATCGCGATGTCGTTAACTCGGACTAAACACGCTTCCCGTGCGTTGTTATGTTGTAAAAAGGTATTTTAAGTGAAGATACTTGTTGTTTTTGGTGGTGGGGAAGAGAGTGAAATCGACTTCCAGCGCATTTCCTTCCTCATTATAAACAATCTGATGCGCTTGAAGTTATCGCGGTGCGCTAAAGGCCGTGGCTTGGAGGGTTGTCAACTAACGGGATAACTTGGACACCGCGGTCAGCCGTGTGTGTTTTGTGGGGTGGCTGACTGCAGGCTGAGAGCCAGGCTCAATGGCTCCTTAATGTGGCCTTTATGGCGCTCCCAGTCGGGAGCCTACCTAGCGAGGTATGCTGTTGGTACGCATGTTGAATGTTGGTCACGCCTGCGCCATCCCCCATCTCCGGTCTTTTTGACTTTTGTCTTGACATTGGGTTCCGTTATGGGAGTGGTGAGAGAATGGCGTAGATCCAGTGAATCTATTTTCACTATAATCCAGCCGCAGTCACCGCGTCGTTTCAGCCCACTGAGGCTCGTCGAGAACGACGGCCGAACTGTCATGTTTGTGTCGTAGCGCTTGTCGGACCAAGAGTCCCCACCGGAGTCCAAACTGGTTGTAGTTAGAAGACAAAGAAAAGCCGAGATCTCGACCGGCTTGAGCCAAAGTCCATGGGGGTGAGTTGGGTGCCTGACCGGGAACTGCAGACGAAAAGATGCTGACAGGCATGCGGAGAGACGCCGCGATCGGGAAAGCTGTCGGGTGTGGACGGGTCAACCGAGTATTGGTACTGGCGAAGGAGCATTCAGTAGCCACTGTGTATTTGAGCCAAGGTACAGCGAGTGGCCCTCGGGGGCTGTTATTCCGAGGCCGCAGTCGGAGGTGGATAGCCGCCTAAAAGGACCGTGGGACGGTAACCTCGTTTCTACTCGACAACGGATCTCTGGTGGAGACGCTGAAAGCCTGTCTTGGTGGTGGAGCCATCAAAGGATAGATCCGAGAGAGACGAGGCGCCACTTTCCTTGTGGAGACCTCTAACAGATGGCCGAACGCTGCGGCTGGGTTTAAGAGCGTGGCAACGGTGGTGATTTGGATGGCTGGGTTGCGAGCACGTCCACTAAAGCTGCTGGCCTAAGAGTGCGTTGTGAGGGGCGACCGGCAAGACAGAAGCATGAAGATTATCACTGGGCGACATTATATAGCAACCCGTGATTGGGCCGAGGGTGGTGGCGAAGACTGGAAGAGCTGACCGTAGGAGACCAAGTTGGTGCCGCATAAATGAGGTGCGGCTTGGTCAGCGCTTTGAATGTGGTCATCAAAGTCTCTTTCGCGCAGCCCCAGGATGTGCCCGCAAGGGCCTTGAGGACCTTGGTGCAGCGGCTCACTTTGCCTGCGACCTCCTTGGCATGATCCGCGATCGTGAAAACGGATCGAAACGCACGCCAAGGAGCTTGGGCTTACGGACGAGCGGTAAGGATGCACCGTTGACGATAATAGCTGGGTGACGATTGAACTGCTTCGGGTCCAGCGTGAACACAGTGACGGACGACTTGGTTGCCGAGATCGTCATTCCGTGCTGTGTGAAGGAGTTTTCGACATCACACAAACTCCGGGAGGAGCTGCGCAGCCTGATCGGCAGCCGTCAGAAGAACGTAACATCGTGCGCGTACGATACCACTTGTGCAGGTGCCCGGGGAATTGGGAGCTCTCGCATTTAGATGTTAAAGAGCGTCAGACTGAGCACAGAGCCTTGAGGAACGCTGCAGGTCTGTTTGCGGGGCTTAGAGAGAGCGCCGCGAAATGGGGCACGGTCATGGCAAACGCAGTCGAAAGCGCATGACAGGTCGACTGAGACTGCCACAGTGCATAAGGAAGGCTTCTGTTGATTGAGGCCCTCGAGGATGCCGTCGCTGAGCTCGAAAAGCGCTGTCGTGGTACCACGACCTGGTCTGAAACAACGCTGATGGCAAGACAGTTCCAACGCAGACGTCAGAATTGAGCGGATGAGCCGTTCCAGGATCTTCGCCAATGGACTGAGGAGAGCAATTGGGCG